CATCTCTAAGCCCTTGAATCCTTTATATTCGCTAAAGCTATAAAAACTCTAGCATTTCGCCCTTCTCAAAAGACATCCTACGGGATTCTAATAACTACTTTCTAATACATCTAATAACTCACCTTATCAAACCCATCTAATAAAATAAATTATTGTCAAATCACCATCGTCACGCCTCTGGCGAATGCCTTATATCGTCTAAAAACTATATTTTTGTGTATAAACTAATTAAATGTACGAATCACCCCGTAACACTATACATGAAATCCACAAACTGTAAATATAATCATCGTTAAATAAAATTTGTTATTAAATTACTGGTGCACTATTAAGATCTGTTGTTAGGGTGTGTGGCACGGCAAAAAAATTTGGCATGCCATTAGCCAAAATTTATGCTATGCCATACTATGGGCATGCCTTTGGCATGCCATAATATAATTGAACCATCTTCCGGAATATTTCGGATCTTTGCACCAATTTTTCTCTTGTAATTTTATGTTGTCTGATTTTCTACTCGGAATATTTCAGAATATCCAAATATCAGTTTAGCCAAAGTGAGACGTATCATATAAGTGGCATGCCTATAAACTATTTTTGTTTTGGGCATGCCCTATGGCATGCCACCATTGGCATGCCATGAATGCCCATGACCACCGTGCCACACACCCTATCTGTTGTACACAAGTCCAGTTTGCTTTCAAAATTACCCCGATTTACCATCGTATTTTGCTATATCTTTAGCCCTTCTTTTTTTTTTGACTTTAATATTGTTTCTTGTAGAATGCTGCTTGTTTTTGGTTTTTCTTGTTTTTGGTTTTGTTTTTTGCTGTCTTTTTTAATGATCTTGCAACACGTTCTTTTATGTCTGAATCTGTTTGCGGAATTTAAGGGCCTTTTAATACTCTCGTAAACTTTGTAATTACGATTATCTAAAAGCACTGTATTAATATCAGAATTTACATCATGATTATCTTCTGCTGAAATTGATTCTATATCTGCTGAAATATAGTATTCACCGGCTAAAATTAAACGTTTTGTCACAAAGCAACCAAAATTAATGAAAAATAATAAAAAATATATGTATATTTATAAATAAATGCAAAAAAGCAGATTACTAACATCTCTGTATTCTAATGATGGTGTATCATTAATATTGGTATTTTTCATAGGGTTGCTTTCAGTCTCAGTAGATTCGTCTAAGTGCTCTCATCAAGTTCTTGTTCACTATCAGACCTTCTAGGGTATTCTCCTAATTCTAATTGATACTAATGAAGACAGAAATTGATGAATGATTTTACTTGCTATAGCGAATATAAAGGATTCAAGGGCTTAGAGATGACTCACATATTACATCGTTAACAAATTTAAGAAAACTAGTTCT